TGTGGTGCCACCCCAGGTAGACGGTCCTGCTTTCTATAAGAAATCAGGCTGAGCACAGCCAGTGGGGAGCAGCCAGTAAGGAGCATTACTCCTTGGTCTCTGCTTCAGTTCCTGCCTCCAGGTTCCTACTATAAGTTTTGGCCTTGACTTTCTTTGATGATGAACTGTGAACTGTAAGCCAAATAAACCCTTTTTCCCCAAGTTGGTTTTGGTCAATGTTTTATAACAGCAATGGAGAGCAAACTAGGGCATGTGGCCATCACCCACAATCAGACCAGCTGGTCCCTCATCAATTCCTACCATCCTGCTCCCAGCCTTCCTCTCTCTTCTCAGAACTGATACACCTTGCTATCATGCTGTGGCAACGAGGCTAACTCCATTTTAAGCCTCACTTCTCTTTTTCCTCAAGCCAGCTCAACAGCCAGTTCAGCAGATGAGCTTAGAGTCTGAACTTAGTTCCAGTAAGTCACTTCCCCCCTGAGGTTTGTTTCTTTTCAGAAATAGCTGACCACAGAAAGGAATACTGCCTCCCAGACACTGCAGCTATGATTCTTTCCAACCCAAGGGAAAATAACCTAAACAATATCCTGTCTTTCTTGGTAATATGATGAAATAACAATAATCAGAAAGCCCCTTGCTGTCAAGGTCTCTATACATCTGTTATGAAAATGGCTAACAGTTGCTTGTTTTGGCTTCTGTTACTTCTTTTAGGGTCAAAGTGACCTCACTGTCCTTGCAACTACCAATGTTACAGGAATGAAGCAGCTTGTGGCTTCTGCTTTTAAAAGATGTTTTTCCCCTCACAGCTTTACTGCAGCCTCCCTTATCTGGTCTCTGGAGATGGTCAGTCAGCTGCAGCTAATAAATTTGGCTAATTTACCCTAAATCGAGTCTGTAGTCTCTCTGGTGGTCCCGAACGCCATCACGACACTCCCTCTAAATGCAGAAGGAATTCACCATTTTTCTCAGTTCAAGACCTAAACTGGAAAATATCTTTAGTAACCAGTCCCCAGAAAACACCCCAACATGACTGTGGGCTGGGAAATACCTGTTGTGTGTGCATCTTGACCCTGGAACTAAAACTTTTAGAGAAAAAAGTTGCCATCAGTGACGGTCAGTTTGAACTGTCAACTTGGCACAGTCTAGAATCATCTGGAAAGAGTCAGTGAGGGATTATCTAAATCAGATTGGCTTGTACACATATCTGTGGGGGACTGTCTTCATTATGTTTCTTGATGTGGAAGACCCAGCCTGAAAGTGGGACTCATCACTTCCTGGGTTTGGGGCGTGGATTATATGAAAAGTAGAGAAAGCTAGCTGGGCATTGTTAGGGTTCCAAACAGCAGCAGTTTCCCCCCTCCCCAACAGGGACCTCACCTTGACCTTTGAAGTCAAGGGAAACAAACTCTGTTGAGAAGCAGCCTGCCTTTCCTCTGACCTCCAAAGATAGGATAAGCAGATTCTACCTGATAACCAGAGATTTTAGAAGCTGTTTTTCTCTTAAGAGGGAAAAAGTAAACACTTCCAGACCCTAATCCTACCTGCTTTTCCTGCTTCCCCCTCCCTGATTTCTCCCCCAAACATTCCCCTCTTCCACACCCTAAAGCCCCCATATATAAAGTCCCAACTCACAACCCGTGGGCTGACATCTTTCCCAGACATCTTTCCCTTCCCCGAGGGAAAGGTGCCCCATGTGAAATAAAGCTGTATCCCGCTGAGAATTCCATCTGTGCCTCGGTGCCTCCATCCATCCGCTCGTGCTCTCCACCTCACGTGCACACTTTCCCAACATTTTTACCTATCAGGCATCAGGTGTGCACATCTTCATTCTCTCCTCTTTTGTTGTTGGTTTATATTTTTATTTTATTTTTTGATAGAGGGTCTCCTTGCATCTCTGCTGGCCTGGAACTCACTAAGCAGACCAGGCTGGACCCAATCTCATAGAGATGCACCTGCCTCTGCCTCCCATGTGCTACTGTGAAAGGACGTGCCACCATGCCCAGCCCTCTCTGTGTTCTTGACTGGATGTGACCAGCTGCTTCGGATTCCTACCTTGACTGTTCTGCAATGCTGGGCTATTACCCAGAATTGTAAACTGAACATATCCTCCCTTTTAAAGTTGCTTTTATCACAGCAACAGAAACAAAGCCAAAATACAATCCTTATTCTTTGTTCTAGGACAGTTGGGGACTGAAATGCCAATGGTCCAGCTGGTTCCTGGAACTGAAGATCTTGTGGTGTCTTCAGAGCACACAGTGAAAAAAGCCCTTAGCACTACATGAAGAGTCCTGGCATCAAGTGGACAGTGAGGGGAGAGAACCTTATGCCCAACACTGCCTACCAACCCATCCCTTTTCATGAGTTTCCCACTCCATACCCTCAAGCAACTCTCTAGCATAGAGATTATGTTATCTTTCAGATAATGAGAGGTCAGACACATTAGGGAGGACCTGTGAGATCCTGTTTCAGGTGACTGACTGCCTTGGTGGCCTTAGAACTGTAACAGTCTTGGCAGAAATGAATATTGTTTGAAATGCAATGGATTCATACCAGGGCCTCATACATGCTTGGCAAGTACTCCATCACTGAGTCATATCCTGGGCCGGATGGAGAGAAGATACTATAAAGAGAGATAATTATGTTATCAGACTACTGACACACTGTACCCGAAAGAATTAAAACTTCCCCAGGAATCTCATACTATGAGAAGGAAAGGCTGAAGCCTGGTGCCAGCCAAAAGGAACTTACTTTGAAAAAGAGACTCCACAAAATTCTTGCAACTTGTCAGACCACCTTTCCAGAGAGACTGGAGGAGACATGGATGGGTCAGGGATGGGTGGGACCACATCTTGACAGGGACTGCTAAATTATGCATAGCCATGCCCTCTATTTAAACCTACACTTCATGTTAGTACCTGGAAGTCAAACCAGGAGGGTCAGTCACTATATCCCTTTATTTGTTACTCTTCCCAGTGTAGCCAAACTGAATCAATCTATTTCTTTCTTTCACTATTCTTTGTTTTTGTAATTGGAATACTGGAGATGGGATGGTGGCAGAGCCTACTTCGATGGGCCTGCCAGAGCCCAGGCTTTGACTAACGACCCCAGTAAAGCCCCAAGGGAATGGTGGGGGGATTGGTATTGATATACAGACCTAGGCTTGTCCTATTTGCTCCAAATATCAAGAAGTTGAGCCAATATATGGGCATTTTCCCATGAGTCCCCTTCCCTCATGAGATACATTAGAACATTCTGCTCTACCTTGAGACAACATACACCCCAAAACAATATGAGACCTTGGTTCTCTCCCCACTTAGGACAGAACATGAGAAATGGCCATGAAAAATCAGCATGCAGGAACCACAATAAACACCAGATGTCACTGTCAGTCCTGCAGGAGAGTCCTCTTCTCCAGCAGCCTTAGAGAGTAGGAGGGAGGGAGCCAGGCTCTTAAGGGTGTCTGCATTTCTGGAAAGAATTTGCTGATAGCAGAGTCTCCCCTAGGGACTCCACCTGGGAATGATCTAATAAAGGCAAACCTACCTAGCCAAGTGGGGTTGGAAAATGAAGTCCTTCAGGAAGCCCGGCAGCCCCTCACCCCAGGGAAAAGACACCCCCACCCCCATGGCCAGTGGAGTCCAGGAATGGATTCTGCTCCTCGCCCTGGGGACAATGTGACAGGGCCACTCTACTCAAGCCTTTCAGGACCAAGTTGGAGGAGTAAACCAGGATAAAGGTAAGACGGATGGCCCAGGGAGGGGATGGGCAGGGGATGAGACAGAGGAAAGGCATCCTCATGGCCCTGGGGTCCTGAAGTAGAGGAAAACCCAGTGTTGCTGGGGGGTGAGGGAGTTCTTCAAAACCTAGAGCTGTAAGCAGGGCTGGAGAAAGAGGTCTTATGGATCTGCTTGTAGAGAAAGGCTGAGGTCAGCCAAGTTAAAGCCCCCATGGGCGAGGATAGACCCCCAAAGACCCAGGAAAAATGTGATAGGAGACAACCACCAGGAAGAAAGCTGGACCACCACAAGGACATACCAGTCACCTTACTAGCCACAAAGGGTAAGAATTAGGTAAAGCAACAAACCACCTGGTACCTTTCTACTGAAGGGGCCTCAGTTTCCCCATCTGCATCTGCCTTGCCCCAAGACTGCCTGTCCAAGCAGGGTTCTGCAGAATGTCACCCCCTAAGTGACCCCAATCATGGTTAAGAGCTTAAGAAATTATAACACTGAGGGTACAGGGAAATTAGGAAAAGGAGGGAGGATCTGTCAGATGCTACAGAAGCCAGGGCTAGTTTGGGGTGTAGGGGCACCCATTCCTGGGGACCTCGGTAGGTCTGACAACAGCACCAGCCTGAGTGCTGAGAGGCTTAAGCATCCTGCCTTTCCACCCACCCTGGGCTCTGTCACATGTTCTCTTCTACCTCATGTCCCTGTTACACCCATGCCTTTGGCCAGGGCCTGGAATGAGAAGAGCCTTACATGACCTATGGGAACCTGGAAATTCCAGACTCTAGGAAAGGGTCAGGGAGGAAAAGTAGAGCTTCAGGGGGCAGAAACAAAGGAGAAAGATTTAAGAGGAAACAGTCACCGGAGAGACAGCCTGACCATAGCTACCCTGTACTTAAGGAGCTAATCCTCACACCACAGGTGGAAAGCCCTTGCTACAGCAACAGACTTGATATTTTCCAGGTAATCGAGAGGGGCTAGGGGGTGGGATGAAGGTGACAAGACCAAAGGGTTGCACGATGGGCAGAAAAGATGCTCCACTGGCCGTGGCCAGCAGGACTGCTTCCTGGGATGGTGGCAAGGAACTCTCAGATTTGAAGACCCCAGGAAACAGTGCTGGCATGTTGGAGGGCCCTGGGTGGACACCAGGGGAGACTTCTTTTCTCCACCTCTACCTGTTGAGTAGGGCAGAGGAAGAGGTAGCTCTCCAGTGGCTCAGAGACCTGAAGAGCACACACCTTCCTTGCAGGACCTGAGGACTGAGGTGAAACCATGAAGTACCTGCTGATCTCACTGGCCCTATGGCTGGGCACAGTGGGTTGGGGTGGGACTGAACCCACCGATTTGCTCCACAGGGGCCTGGAGGTGGCCCTGGAGATGTTCCACGAGCACCCACCCCTGGAATGGGCCTTCCAGGAAACAGCTGTGGACAGTGCTTTGAATATGGTTAGTATAAAAACTGAGCTGGGTATGGAGGACAGCAGCTCTAGAGACAATGTGTTCCCAGAAAGCCTTCCTGGGAAACGCCACCAGCCAGCCGCATCCCTGGGCTGTGCTGGTTCACAGTTACGGTGCTGGGGTTGTAGGGTCACATCTAAGAATTACCTGTTGGTCTTCTTGTCTGTCTGTAGCCCTTCCCAGCAGGCAACTTTGTGAAGTTGGGATTTAAGCTCCAGCAGACAAACTGTCTCAAGAAGGACTGGAGAAAACCAGAGTGCAAAGTCCAGCCGAACGGGGTGAGTGAAAGGGTGCATGTGATGAGGCCTGCTGCTTGGGTATGGAACTCCGTGGAGCTGGAGTAAGGAGCGGGCTGGAACCTGGGTATGGAGCTTCATAGGCTAGCTGCATGGAAGGGAGCGATGATTGGCTGAGGGAAATTTTTCCATCAGAGCAGGACCAGCTGTTTGAGCCCCCTCTTAAGAAGTCTCTTAATGGAGTTTATCCTGAAACCTTCCCCCACACTTGGCCAGTTCATTGCAGGGTTTCACAGTAGTCAGCTACCTTGGGGACACACTGATGCTATGGGGTGTCCCCTGGACTGGAGGCGCACTCTCTGGGTTCAGGTTCTTGCTTTTTACCACCAGCTTTGTGGGTTCTGTGAAGGCCTGGCATTCCCCCATGGGCTACAAGAAGGGACTGGAGTACCCTTGTGATTTCAAGACTTAGTTCCAGGACCTTTTTGTTCAAATCAAGTCTCATAAGAAAATGTAAATAAGGGGCCAGGGTGATGGTTCAGTGGTAGAAGTGTGTACTATGTAAGCGTGAAGACCTGAGACTGAATCCCCAACACCCACGTTCAAACAGCAGGGTGTGGCCCACCCAGGCCTGCAATTCCAGTACTGTTGTGAACAGAGACGGGGGCTCAGTGGTGCTTACTGGCTGCTAGCCAAGCTCCAGATTCAGTGAGAGACTCTGCCTTAAGGGAATAAAGTGGACAGTGATAGAGCAGGACACCCAGTCGATGTCTTTCTTTGGCATATGCAAATGCAGCACCCACATACACAGATGCATATACATCACACACACATGCGATACTCACACACATACATACACAGATATGCATGCTCACAAAAGCATGCATATGCACCCACATACACAGATGCATATACATCACACACATGCGATACTCACACACATACATACACAGATATGCATGCTCACAAGTTCCAGATAAGACTGAGCTACTTATGAAGACTGTGTCCAAGAAAAAGAAAAACAAGAGAAGATGTCTGAAATCTCCTAGTCTAGCGCAGGCTTGTGCCTGAAGTCTACTGGCCTGCAGGTCCTCTTGCCCTCTACTCCGGGGCATGCCAGAGAGCCAGTCCCCACCCCACCTCAGTGGTGCCTCCTGATGTCTTTGCTCTCCTCCCATGCTCTTCACAGAGGAAGTTGGAGTGTGTGGCCTGCGTCAAACTGGGCCCCCAGGGTAATGCTCTTGGCCGGTGGTTCCATTGCCCCATACCAAGGGGGTGGACACAGGTAAGAAGGGGCAGAGGTTAGAGTGGGGATACAATGGATAGCAGCTGGGTCTGCAGCAGGTGTACAGGAAGCCCGGAAAAGAGGGGATCCATGTGATGGGGTGAGGAGGGGCTCTGGTCATGGCCAAGACCTTCCACGGGGCTGCAGAGGTGGCCTTCCCAGGCACTGCTACGGCAGTTTGTTGATAGTGGCAGGAACTCCGGTACCAGTGCAGAATGGTGGAACAGGCTGGTGAGGAACAGCTCCTCCAAAGATGAGCATCTCCAGAAACGTGCTCCACAATGAACCCTGGACAGGTGGGTGACTAGAGACAGGAGCAGCCTTGGGATGAAGACTGGGCTGTGGGAGGCAGGGAAGGGATGGATACGTGAGACCTGGAAGAAACCTAGGCGTATACCAAAGCCTCACACCCAGTCTGGCTTTTCCCCTCTTGTCTAGAATTTCATCCTGCTTCCTGGACAGCTGCTGCAACACCAGTGGAAGCACCGCCTCCCCCAAGTTCCATCGCGGTCCATGCTAATAAAACTACTGTGTCTGTTGCTTTTGCTGCTAGTGCTGCTCTTTTCCTGTAAGCTCATAGAAGACAAGCTGAGAGTGTGGTGTGCATGCAAGTGTGTGAGTGTGTGTGGCCCACTCCCTGAGGGAGCCTTCACGTGGTGCCCAGCTCCTGAATGAGTGAAGCCTTCCACAGGACCAGGGCAGAGGTATAGAAGGCCACATCTGCTCAGGAACTACAGAGAAGCAGTGATGCAAATGAGCAACAGAGCTGTTTAACAGAGTTGGTATGGGAAGTATCCTTGGCCACTGAACCTCAGGTGACCACCAAGCCTCAGGCTGGGGCAGCTAGAAGAGCCCCTGCTCACATGTCCCAGGCCTGACTGCACAGTATATTTGCCACATGGTTTATAAATGCATCTTAAGATTGACAGATGTCCCTCATATGTTTCATTCCGTCACAAATTTAATGGTCTTTTACAGTGTATTTCAAACATCTTATCTCTGTGTCTTCAGCTTTAAAAGAGGATGAAATAATTCAGGCGAATGCTCTCTAAATGACTAACGTACTTACTACAAAAGTAAACAGATATTGTGAAACTGTTTCTCCGGAATTGAAACGCTCCTTCCAGGAGGAGGTAGAGAGCTCATGAGACTCAGAAATAAACAATTCACAAGTCTCAGGAGGTTATTGAAACTAAGAAGATTCACAAGGCCCATCCTAAGATTATGAGAACAGGTAATAACTGATGGGTAAAGATTCTCTGACCTGTTGATCTGTCAGAAACTCATGCAGAGAGCCCCAGGCTTACAATTTCCATGAGTCATCATCCAGGCTGAGGTGGGCCTTCTGGTAATGGTGATTCAACTGTCTCTGAGTTATCCATGATCCTGTAGGTAATGCCTCATTCACCCATATGCCTGTACACAACTCTAATAACCTCACTGGTTTGCCAGGATGGATTTTGGTAGAATTGTTTCTTTGGTCCATTGTCAGTGCCCTGTTTGAGGTGAGTAGATCTCTGTGTCATGTCCCCACAAGAAAAGTCTCATACAACATGCTTGATGCTCAAACACAGACCCAAAAAAATCAAACATGAGTTTGAAAGACTGCCTGCCTGGTTCTTGCCACGGTATCAAGGCATAAAACCAAGGCTGAACAATCTGAGGGCAGAGTGTCTGCAGTGGAAATCCTCATGTGGCTCTTCCCTATATGATGTGTGGGATTTTGCATTCTTGCTATGGTGGTGGTTGCATGGGTCTTGCTAAGCAGTGAGGCATGTAACTAAGTCTGAGACATGAAGAGATGTATGGTATATGAGAAGTATTTCAAGGTGGCATCTCTACATGCTATGGAGCAGCACAGCTGCTCAGTGACTAGGGTCTACACCATGACTATGATCATACACTAAGAGAGCTGGAGGTTTAGAGGAATTATTACAGTCCTAGAGAGTAGCACGGATCAGACAAAAATATCAGCAATCTGTCCTGAGATCACATGGCCACTGCTGTATCTAATAAGAAACACAACTGAAGTTGGGATGGCTGTGCAGGGGGAAGCTGTCTCTGCAAAGGAGGAATCACAACAGGAAATAGACATGTGGCTAGCATCCTCTGCATTGGCCTCTGATTTGACAGGTAACCTGGATGAAAGAGAGAATGAGATGAAGGCACTGGCTTGCTGTTTCTTATGGCTGGGGGCCAAGAGGAAAAGAGTACAAATTGGGTCTGAACAACAGATACCTTCCTGGAATCCAATAACTTGGAACTAATAGTAAGAATCAGAAGGTGTGGAAGACAAGAATGTGGCAGAAGTGATAGAAGATAGCCTTGGGTCTGATGTCTAACAGAAAAGGGGAAACCCACAATGCAACCTGCAGACATGGACCTTAACAATGGCCCTATACAAGAGACTGTGATGATCAGGAAATACTCAGCACATGAAAAGTTTGAAGTGGGAAATACTTTAAACAATCAATGAGTGAGCCTCCCTTAGCCTGTCTAGTGATGCTGTGGGACCTAGGGATAGATGGGAAGAAAAATTAAATTATATAACTGTCATCTTTCCTTAGACAAAGACTGCACAATCCAGGGCAGAATGAGGGAAATCAGTCCATAATAGACTGGCTTACATGAGCCATTAGGAAGAGTTGGTTATTGCTGACTGAGGACCCCATGAGTATCAGAGAATGGAAGATAACAGAGGAAGGATAGGTGTTACTGAGGTAATTGGGAATAAGAAGCACTGTTTAGTGACCAGTTCACCAGGCCAGAGAGAGCTGTGCTCACAAGAGAGTTAAGAAAGGAGTTTCAGAGCTGGAGAGATAGCTCAGTGGTTAAGAGCACTGTCTGCTCTTGCAGAAGATCTGGGTTCAGGTCCCAGCACCCACATGGCATCTAACAACCATCCATCCGTCCATTACTCCAGGGATCTGATACCCTCGCCTGACCTCTGAGGGCATTACATGACACAGGCGCATTTACATACATGCAGGCAATACACTCATACACATAAAATAAAAATAATACATAAAATTTTTTTAAGAAAGATTCAGCAAGGACCATGGGACTGGTATGAGCCTTTAGTGGCTTTGCTGCATCCTATGGTGGGCTTTATGAGGTAGGAGAAGCTTTTGTTATAGGGAACTGTGGCTGTGAATTTGCCACACTTCAGACAGGAACCTCAGACTGAAAGGAATCAAGGATCCATCATATTCACTTTCAGGCTCAGGGAAGTCACCTCGAAAACACTGGCCCCCAATACACAGGCTGTACAGAGGCGTGGGCTCCTTTTGGTGGGCTATTTGTGGACCAAGAAGTGAAGTGAATTCTCACTGAATCCCAGGGTTCTGGGTCTGCACCATCTTTGGAGGCCTCCTGCTACACCAGACACCTCGGGAACAACCACTGCTTCCTGATCCTCTGCATCCAGACCAACTCAGTTCCTTCTCGAGTCCCTAGGAGCATGCTGGGCCTGGCTCTGCCCTCACCACCCTCTGCTTCCCTGGGCCTGAACTACCTGCAGCCTCTTTCCTGGAGCTGGGGCTGACCTTTCCTCTTCCTGATCCTTTGCATCCAGACCAACCCAGCTCCTCAGTGCAGTCCCCAGGAGCACTTGGGGCCTCTTACCACCCACATCTCCCTTCACATCTCTGGGTGGCACGGCCACCAGCTGCCTTAAAACAGCATTTTTCCTGGGCCCAGCTCCCAGGCCAGTCCAACCCCCAAATTCCTCAGGCCAAAATCTATCCTGGAAGGATCCAGACATTAAGAGAAAGGCTGAGAGCATCTGATCCTCATCTGACTTGGGCCTCTGTGGGA